ATCACCTACGTTGGTTAGATGAATATATTATTAACGGATCGAGTCTTCGCAGACACCCTTTATATCAACCAGATACTGAAAACCTTCTGGTTGTGCATTATGTTTGTTGATTATTTCAATACACACATGCATAATTTTATGTGTCCATCACGCATAATTATATGCAGAATCGAGAACTGCTTCGATCACAATGTGTTCATTTCGGTTGTTGCACTGCTGCATGTATCATGATTGCACGATTCATTCGATTCCGTCAGACGGAACAAATGCGAAAATGCTGTGAAATTCACCGTCATAGATGGAATTCATTTGGCCCCGTTTGCCCAATCATTTCATGATTTCATAGATCCCTACACAAGTATATACAGTCGTATTCAATAAAAAAGCGTACAAGTATTAAACATAGGAGATTTCGGCATCCTAGTTCTAGTTGTGGAAAACTGGCTCAGCCAATGCTTCGTGTTTTTGAGAACCTATGATCACTCTACTGTCAACGATAGCCCGTTTTACGCAAGTTCAATCGGTTCAGAGATATGGGAATATTTTCAGTTCAATCATAATATTTTATTGTGATTGAAACAAGAGTGCTATGCTCACTGTTGCATCTTAGTTTAGTATCTGTGAGAAATTTTGTTGATTTATCATCATGAAACAGTATTGAGACTCGTAATTTCAACACCCTATATCTCGAAAATTACGCGTTTGAAAGTATATGTTTGTTTGTTTGTTTGTTTGTTTGTTTGTTCTATCCGTCATTCGGTTGCCCCCTTACGAGCAACCCTCAAAAGTCTTCGAAAGTCTTGTGCGAGCAAGGAATGACGGGGGCCTTACCTTTTAACGTGTGATCCCAAACACTTGATATAAACTTTTTTGTTATTTTACCTACGGCCACTATAGAAAGTAGGCAAGAACACATGATATGCTGTCTCAGTAAGTAGCTCTTTACGCACAGTAAGCAAATCGCACAGTTCCGTTTATTCCGCCAGTATAGGTCCCAGATAACACAGGATATCCTATGGATATCCTTCTCAAGTCCATTTCAGGTCGAGATATCCTGGGACATGAAATAGATATCCATAGGATATCCGTCAGAGGATATCAAATGGATATTCTGATGCGGATCACCTATGGACGTCCATGAGATGTTCGTTTAGCGAACAAAAATTGTTAATTGAGAATGGTTCAAAACAATACGAATCATCACAAATATCACATGCAAATCACATGTTTATTAGAAATTCAAAGGTAGTTTTCCATCATATAACTATTGTTATGTAGGTATAATATGTTTATAGCCACAATTAAGATATCCGATGCAAATATGAATTCATATAAATAACAACACCACAGTTTGGAATTTTTCTCTGTTGTTCAATGTTTTCGTACAAAAATATACAATCACCCGAAAATAGCTCTCATATTTACTTTTTTGTGGTCTTCAGATGGACATCCATGAGATATTCATCCATGGATTTATAGCGGATATCCATCAGAAGATATCTTATGGATAGCCATAAGATATCCAAAGAAAACATAAAATCATATTTATGTCAAAATAACTTTTGTTCTGCAACATTTTCGCACAAAAATATGATTTTTCAGAAATAACTTGTATCTCCATTTTTTTCCTTGGGATTGAGATGGAGATCCATAAGAAGATATATTCGCATCCCTGAATTCAAAACTGGGTAGGTATTTTCCCAATGGATGGTAATAAAATATTCTGAAGCAATTAAATATAAATCAATATGGCATTCGCGTGAATGACAAATTTTCCAAAAGAAAGATGGAAAAATCTAAGTGAATCTAATTCTTGAATTCACCTTAACAGCATTTCGGAAAATAGCTTCATTGTTGCGCTAGGGATAACGCGATTCAAATCCGGCCACCTCGCCTCCTCTATTTATCTCTCAAAAGATTGAATTCAATTCGAATTGACCTCCATGGCTAGAATCGTTATGATTGGTCTAAAAATGCATCCATGTCGAAAGTTATGGTAAATTGAATTCTTTCATGAGGTATGAGCTAAAGCTTAAGGTGGTTCACTCCTATAACTTTTTCATTATTGTAGGTAGTAAAACGTCAATTGGGGTCATGAATTATAGTTCATTTTATATTATTCGACATATCTACTTGCTTTACCGCACTTTTGGTTTAACCGAGGATGGTATTTTCAAACGGGACACCCTGTATTTTATTCCATAATCGGTTAAGGATTATCATAACGAATTCAACGATACTGTGTTCGATAGGATTTCTACAAACGATTAGAAAGATATTCACATTTCCATATCCTCAATGAGCATATGAAAACTTCGAATGCCATATCTTCGTAATCGTTTGAAATAACCCTATCCAATCCGGTACCGTTGAATTCGTTATAATATAGTTCCTAATTCATTATGGAATAATATACATGGTGTTCTATATTGTTAAGGATATTTAGTGAATATCCCTGAAAAATATCTCATGGATATTTGTGAACGATATCTTATGGATATCCCTGAAAAATGTCTTATGGATATTTGTGAACAATATCTTATGGATATCCCTGAAAAATGTCTTATGGATGTCCCTGAAGGATATCCTATAGAAGTCCAACTCCTTCCACTCGGCACGTCCATTGGACGTCCATAAGATATACATCGGATATCACTGGATATTCTCTGGATATCCCAAATATCCTAAATGGACGTCCAATGGATGTCCATCGAATGTCCGTGTGTTGACTGGGGTATGTATGACGTCAACAGCGGATGACATAACTGTCAAGAATTATAATTCAGACTGTTTGTCCGAACTTTCTTGATGTACTATATGGCAGTGGGTAAAGTATACTTAGTACGTAATGCTTGTTGTAAAGCAATCACGCACTCATGGAATTACGTATCTTTTGCATTCGTGCGTAATATGCTTCTTCTTCAACACATATTATTATTGATATGGGAATGTGGAGTATTTTTATAATTTATAAATATGTGTTCATTATGCTTTCACAGCTTTCTAGAACTCCGAAAGGTGCGGAGTACGACGCTTATTTTCTATATATCACGAATTTTGAACGTTGTGGAGGATACTCAGATAATTTCTTGTAATATGAACTAAATTCGATCCCTTTTCAGAGAACATGGATTCCTATATGGTAGATTGACAGTTATAAATATGTTTGATAATAATAATAATAATTATAATGTATTCATTATGGGAATAATCATAAAAAAAAAGTTGTATAAAATTATCATAAAGAGAATATACAAAAACATATAAGTTAAAACATTGACATAATGATAAAATGGGTCTAGCATTCAGAACATTCAGAAACAAAGACTGAAGGTAAACATTTGAAATACAATCACTTTGAAAATACAATCATTTCACTTCAGATTTTTGTCTCCAGGAATACATTCACAGAATAGAAACTTCTTTTCAGCAGATAATCCTGTACTTTTTTTTTATATATTTTGCGAAGATATTTCCTTCGTATCTGAGGGCAGGGAATTGAAGAACCTCGGACCTGTTGTGAAGTGTGACTTTTGAAAAATCTGAGTGCGGTGCTGACTCAACCTAAATTACCACTCCTTGTAGGATAAGTATGGAAAATTCCATTTGTTTCGAACTTGGATTCGTGTTTTTTCACGTGAATGACAGAATGGTAAATGTATATAGAGGGTAGTGTTAGAATTCTATGTTTTATGAAAATATGTCTATATACATGATTCGGTATATTTCAGACCATATATGAGTCGAATTATGGGTTTCTGACCAATAAAAGCACGATCAATCGTAGTACCATGTAGTACCATCACCCCACAGAAGAATATTGTAGGGAAGTAATGAGTTAACCATTGCATAATGAACATCGACAAGAATATACACAAATCTTCATCTTGCCATAATTTTTGAAGAACTGTGTAATCTATTCTTACTTGGTAGAAATATTCCACTTATATTGCACATCAAAACTGAATGAAAATCGTCCGTCTTAAGGAAAAACAGATAACTTCTTTTATTTTAAGAACAACACTCTGTATGGCGAAATTTTGTGAATCTGTTTCGATATTTGAAAAGAGCAGGAAAAAAGGAATGAAGTGACTAACTTTTCACGAGCGCTCATCCAATTTTACAAATGGTTTATTATTATGTTTCGAAATATTCAGCTCCATTTCCAGGCATTTTCAATGAACTCGTGATTCAAAATTCAATTTTGATACAAAGTTCAACATCATTAGAGTCAAATTAGGTGGACTATCGATAGATCTGTTCGTTTCACAAAATAACTTGTTAATGATTTTATAAATTTTCAAGGGCTCATTTTATTCTTCACTATTCATTCATACGCTGCGGTTAATTGAGCTGTGTGTTAAAGCATAATTATATAACACTTTAGGATGTAACAACCCGATATAAAAGCACCGACAATTACCTTAACGTTCCCAATAATATCACACTAGTGGTTATAATCTGTCAGAACATCAGAATTTCTTACTCATCCTACTTTACCGCAGCTCGACCATGGATTAAGTAATTCGACTCTAATGATATTGATCTTTGAAGACGGTTTTTTTGTTGTGAAATAATTGGATTTTGAATTACGGGTTCAATAAAAATGCCCCAAAATGGAACGGACTATTTCAGAAAGTAACAATTAAACATCTATCGAATCGGATGCGCGCTCGTAAAACGTATTCGTTTTTCCCTGCTCTTTCCAAATATCAAAATAGATCTACAAAATTTTGCCATACAGAGTGTTGTTTTTGGAATTAAGGAAGTTTTCAAATTTTCCTCAACACGGACCTAGATTAAGTTCCCGGTTTTCATTCAGTTCCGATAAGTAATATGAGTAAGATATTTCTACCAGGTATGGATAGGTTATACGAAGTGGTTCACAAGTTATATGAAGATTTTGCCAAAATCAAGATAACTTCCTGTACCTCAGTTAACCTAAAAACTTTGTTGTTTCCGAAGGGTGTACAATAATATTATCAATATTTACATTTCAGCATCAAGGAACCTCCTGGGAGTATCGAGTCCTGCGGGGGATGGAGAAATCCCCAGCCAATACCGATACGTCGATTCGAAGAAAACGGCCCTTCCGAGGCCTTATTTCGACGACACTGGCCCTAGGAACGTCAGCGCAGTGGTGGGACAGTCTGCCTTGCTAAACTGTCGCGTGAAATACCCTGGAGACAGGACGGTGAGTTTTGATAGTCTAATATCTAACCAGTGCATAATGATGGCTATTACTCACGAACATAAAAATCGTCTGCTGAATAACAACAAATTTGCAGAAAGGATTTCTACGATATCCACAAATAATCGTTTCGAAGAAAATACACCTTGTGTTTTGCATACGAATTGTTTATAGGACGTTCCACATTCACTAAAAAGATCATCCCTTAGAGTGTGGCCACATATCTGAACAACACCGTGTATACAGAGTGATAAATTTTTATACGATACTATTGGGTGACACACAAGTTTAGGAACCTCCATCAGGCAGGGTTTCTTAGTGATCTATAGGGCGTTGACATGCATCAGGGTAATTATCTCATTCCACTGATACGAAAAACCCAGCAAGTAACATACATCCATAAGAATCCAGTTATACAAGTCTTTATTAGGAAACATCTCATAACTGCTGAATAAAAAATTTTAACCATAAAATGTCATCAGATGAACGTTAAAAGCTAGAGTTTTCAACGTGAAGCATGTCACCCTTTGATGTCCCTCTTTCAGTGTTTGAAAGGTTACCTCTTAGATTCAAAATGCATGGAACAAGATCATAGTTAAAAGATGGAATTTAAAACATAATCATTCAATTCCTAGAAGATGTAATTTCACAGGTATACAAGTACCGGGTGACCAGTTATATTCTGACCCATTTCAAATGCTTATATCTCTGAAACCATTCGTTATCGTTGTGCAGTTTGGGCTAGTCTATTTTGGAATTTTTCGAGTTGTTTTTGACAGGTTCACCTTCTCTCTTGAACATCAGGTTCTACCGGAAACAAACTAGCCATTATTCAGGTATAGGGCAACTTTTGTATTTCATAAAATCACCCTGTATATTTTTGCACATTCAGAAAGACTGGTCTTTTCTCTTTCTAACAATGTATAACAAGTTATGTTTTCTTAGAAAACTATCAGAGTTATAACTGTTTGAAACAACTACTGCATGTGGAATGGTTTAATGAGATTTTGCAATGTAACCAAAGTCGCCTTTGGAAATCCTGATCACAACACATGTAATGCCAGATTAGATGTGTCAAATAAAGATTGTCGAGCATTTGTACTTTCTTCGAGTTGAAAAAATCTTTACTTTGACTGAAAAAGCAAATGAACTCATCATAAATCTGCATCAGATTTATACTCAATATACGGTAATTCAGCATTTCAGGATAACATCCTAATATGCAGTAGATGCTTCAAAGAGTTATAACTCTGATAGTTTTCCAAGGAAACATAACTTGTTATACATTGTTAGGAAGAGAAAAGATCAGTCCTTCTGAATGTGCAAAAATATACAGGGTGCTTCGATGAAGTAAAAAAGTTGCCCTATACCTAAATAATGACTAGTTTGTTTCCGGTAGAACCGGAAGTTCAAGAGAGGAGGTGAACCTGTCAAAAAAAACTTGAAAAATATCAAAATAGACTTGTCCAAACTGCACAACGATAACTTGAATGATTTCAGAGATATAAGCATTTGAAATGAGTCAGAATATAACTGGTCACCCGGTATAATTTAAGTTTCAACCCTTCTTCATTTACCATCTTCGTCATACCCTCTCAACTCAATGAGTCATCTAACTCACTTATGAACACTGGTTCCATCATAATCGTTAGTCGTCCCAAGATTCCTGATATTTAAGGACATATTAGCCCGCGGCAGCTCGTGACCTCTTCTTACAGGGTGATAATTTAGTTTTTTTCGAAAAGTTGGAAGATCTTCTATGAATATTAGGGACATATTTGTTCTTATCCCCCCAAGTATAGGTTTTGTTGTGGAACAACAGGTTGTTGAACTGCATCAGGGTATCGGTAAGTATATGTATCGGAAATTGTTTCAATTTGGATAATATTTTCTTTTTTTGGCTCACCTCACTATTAACTATAGTGGCAAAAGCTTGGATTCTCACATCGGTGATATATTGCATTGCGTATACAGTGTGTCCAAGATAAGGATGTCTATCATGGGGATCTCGAAAACGATATCTCCGAAACGAAACGTTGGAAGAAAAATATCTCATCGCTGTTTTGAAGAGCTCGAAAAGTGGCAATGAGACAATGTCTTTTGTTTTCCTGTATCTCTTTGAATGACGGCAGAAAAAACGAAATCTGCAAATTTCGCTTCAATCCCCGAAAGTAGTAGGAATCTTGGAACTTTCTGAACGACATATTATTCATTTTGCTATGGGCTTGAGAATGCGCAACTTTTCTCTGATTCAACCATCTTCGTATCTTTTATGGTTTCCGAGAACTCCATGATATAAATCCTCATCTTGGACACGGTGTATATGCATTTAATTGACTCGTATAATTTTATTTGCTGCTTCAAAATTTCCAAGACTCCTAGCCAACAATACATCAGAAGGAATGAAGGTTTTTTATTTTTCGTGCCGTGATTAGTGAACCCTTATTTACTGACGCCACTGTGTACATTTCCGGCAACTATAATAATCTGAGGTAGTGAAAGCGAAAATAAATAATCCAAATTTGAAGCATTTTTGTCGTAGGCAGACTGAGATAATGTGAACTGAGTATATGACGTCAATGCCCTGTAGTTCCTCTACAAAACTCTACTTGGGGGCGAGTAAATGAACTATGTAGATATGTCTTCAATATTTATCGAAGATTTTCAATTCACTTCATTTTTCTGGAAAAAAATTAATGCAAATCATTTGACGATTGAATTGAAAACAAATTATATTGATATGCGTATTACTTCATTTTTATTATATCACTATTCAATATAGAAATGCTAATCATTCAAGTAACAAATTGAAAACAACTAATATTGATATGACTATATCTTTTCATTTTTATAATAACATCGTATAACATCAAAATGCAAGTCATATGAGCGTCATTTCATTTTAATATAAGTATTATTCCACTTTTATATGATTTTTTTTATAATGATGAATTTAATCATATTGAAAAGGGATCTATGCTCGAATTCAAAAATCTTTTAAAGGTTATACAATCTCGTGTAACAGCTTATAAATATTTCACTCGGTGTATGAATTGGAAATGCGCTGTAATCGTTTTCTTTCTGATTGCACGAAAATAGATCTTTATTTCGTTCCAGAAATATCGTGTGTATCTATATCATAGAATTGGAATAGAAGGGAAGTAATTACCCCCTTTGATGTGAACTGGGATAGCTCTCGGCGATATTTTATAGCGAGTTCCCAAAGAAGTACCATGCTAACTAAAGTCCTATTCAAACGAGAAGAACCGTTACCATCGATGGTAACGGAAGAACTCGCTAGAGGATACTCTGAGGGGCCAATTCTGTGACGCTTTACGACATCGTTAGCGAACGATAATCGTTACGGAACGATATTTGTTATTCTGTAGATAACGATTGTCGTACCTGTACGACAAAACTTTACGCTTGTAGACGACGTTGGCTGAGGTGTCTTTGGAGGCACTCTTATGTCGTTACGTGAAGGAGACTTAAAAAAATGATATAGGAAGTGGCAGAGAGTGGTGAATGTGGAAAGAAAATTTGATTGCTGATTATTGAAAAATGAATAACCGGGTATTAGTAGAGCTTGTTCTAGAAGAGATAGCACGCAGATATTGAACTCTTCATTGTTTCTAGTTCTAGTGATTGCATTGGTACATCACACTGTTTTATCATGTGATATCATCAATAACATTTCAAACAACATATAGACAGCAACTCAGAATACTCAGGGATATGAGTAATCCATTTGAGTTACCAAATATGCTAATTGGTCAGATGTGCCCATAACGATTGAGTAAAGGATGCAGCATGTTCCAATTTTTTTTTTAATTGACTCGGCGTTAGCGAGGCCGTTAGGTACTTTGATGGAAATCCATAGCAAATGTAAAAACTTCACGAACGATGAGATTTACACAAAATTCTCGATCACACGACATGTTTCACTAACACAGTAGCTTCATCAGGTGAAATTCTGGTAAAATGATATAGACTAACCTTGGATTGCCTAAACTTATGTAAGAATTTTGTGGAAATCTCATCGTTTGTGAAGTTTATACATCTCATGTTCCTAGCAGATAGAAATACAAGAACACTACTATCATAAGAGTGAGATTAGAAAGATAGGGAATTTTTCTGATGGACTAGTAGTATAATATATGCTTCGTTGGCATGTATGCATATATACATACCAATTGGCCATCGACCTTACGAGAGGTTCTTCAGTCCATGTGTGTTCTATGTGGGCTTTGTTACTAACTCCATACGCCACCTCAGGAGCAGAACCTTTTAATTGGAACGCAACAGCGAATCGTGCGGAATCATCTCCGGCCGACGCAAGGGAAATTTGAATTTCTCTCGTTCCATAAATGAGAACTCTGCTCTGCCAGGGATTGAAACCTAGCGACCTTTTGATATTCTGTGTACTAGTCGAGCGTCTTAACCACTGCGCTATTTTGCTGCTCATTTTCTTGTAATTATCTACATTGAATTTTTACCTCTTCATTTTTTACTGCTTTACATTCCATGGTATCTACATGAACTTATCAAAAACCTAATGCCGGTTCAGACAGACTCCACAGTTCATCCCCACACAATGTGTGGATCACTTGATGATGTTGATGATATTATTGCCAATAATCTTGTTGTGGAGTTCCCTCAGACAGCTGATGAAATTTTCAGCACAAAAAACAATAATTTTGTTTTCTGGAAGACGAAGTACTGACTACATTATTTGACAAAAATAACATACTATTACCTTCTTCTCAACTTCTAACGAGTTACCAACATTCACCAAATACATTTATTACCATGTCCCCAGATTTCACTCTTAACTACATCGATATTGAATAAGCTTCTAAAATTTATCGTTCAAAATGTCGTTGGTCAATGTATCGTTGAGGTAACGATATCGTATTCTAACGATAAGTTACTGGAAAGAACCCTCATTGCGAATTCTTACAGACCTTGCCGTAAGCACCTCATGCGAATATCTCGAATAACTCGTAGTTGCGACAACTGAGATACCTCTCCTTTGATCATCTGAAATTCTTGCCACAAGGTTATTATGTACGCGAATATTTCGAGTGACTCGTTATTGTTGCATACCTAAACTCAGAGACCATTCCAGTCGCAATTAAGGCTCATCTCTCAAAGTGCTCGCAACAAGGATATATGTGCGAATTTCCCACAGAACTTGTTCGATATGAGCATTTCTGCGTGAGATATCGCTGAAAAAATCCTAGCTGTACAAAGATAGGAAAGCTTGAAATATCACCATGTATTGCCTCTGATATTGTCACGATTTGAAAGATGGTTATAGTCCATCCATACCGATTTATAAGGGGTAATGCTTGGCTTAATAGTTTGCGAGAGGTAATATTCGAATAGGCAGTGATAGTTCAGGGGCAACTGAAAGTATGAGACTATATTCAAACATAACAATATCTGATAAACCTAGAATCTCAAGACTAAGAGATTCTAGGGAAATTTCGTGAATCGATTTTCAGCTGATGTAAGACTTTTGTTTTTGACTTGCCATAAGTCTCATCAGTTGCACTGGCCAGCTGACAATCGATTCACGAAGGGTACCTCCATATATCAAACAAGTCGAAGCCCTGAGGGGACAGAAGGACGATCTAGCCTTCATAGCCATCTAGTGGCTTTAGTGCGAAGGTGTATAGGTAGATTTATCAATCATACTTTGCGAGTAAGTCGTGCATAAAGACCCCTACGTCTATATGCTTACAGAAAAGACATCCATGTCAGTCAGAATCTGACTTACTCGTAAGGTATGATTGATGAATCTACCTTTACACCTTTGCACTCAAGCCACTAGATGGCTATGAAGGCTAGATCGTCCTACTGCCCCATCAGGGCTTCGACTTGTTTGATATATGGAGGTACCCTTCGTGAATCAATTGTCAGCTGGCCAGTGCAACTGATGAGACTTATAGCAAGTCAAAACAGTCTGTCTTGCATCAGCTGACAATCGATTCACGAAATTTCCCTAGAATCTTCTAGTCTTGAGATTGTAGATTTATCACTAGACGTTAGTGGAACATTAAACCACTTTGAGAATCACAGGTGTTGCGATAGTCTACAGAATCTGACATGGATGTCTTTCCTGTAAGCATATAGACGTAGGGGTCTTTATGCACGACTTACTCGCGAGGTATGATTGATGAATCTACCTATTTACCTTTGCACTCAATCCACTAGATGGCTATGAAGGTTAGATCGTCCTTCTGCCCTCTCAGGGCTTCGACTTGTTTGATATATGGAGGTACCCTTCGTGAATCGATTGTCAGCTGGCCAGTGCAACTGATGAGCCTTATGGCAAGTCAAAACAGTCTGTCTTGCATCAGCTGACAATCGATTCACGAAATTTCCCTAGAATCTTCTAGTCTTGAGATTGTAGATTTATCACTAGACGTTAGTGGAACATTAAACCACTTTGAGAATTACAGGTGTTGCGATAGTCTACAGAATCTGACATGGATGTCTTTTCTGTAAGCATATAGACGTTGGGGTCTTTATCCACGACTTACTCGCAAGGTATGATTAATGAATCTACCATTATACCTTTGCACTTAAGCCACTAGATGGCTATGAAGGCTAGATCGTCCTTCTGCCCCCTCAGGGCTTCGACATAAAAATATCTATTGAAGCATGAAACATTATGGGTAGTGATGATGAATATGAAAAAACAACAATGAATAACAACAACTCACAATATAATGATCATAACGACGAGTTCTTGTCAAGTAAAGAGTAGCCCCAGACCAGACTAACTTCGGAACCCTCACATTCAAAATTTATATACATCATTTTGTTAGATTTGCACGTTTCTCATAAGAGTTCCTTGGTCAGTTTTCATAGTTCAATGCCAACGGATGATTTGGCACCACGGACTCCTCGCCAAGCTTCCATCTTATCCATCTTAGTTTCCTCTCGAACAGGTCTCTCCATGTAGTGGTCGAGGGAGTTTCATCTGACTCTCTTATCATATCATATGCTGGTATTCTGCAAGGATCAATTCTAGTACCAACACTATTTCTACTTCATATCAACGATATGTTGAAAGCAAATTCATGTCCAGTACACAGCTTCGCGGATGATAGTACCCTCCATACCGCCTTTTCTTCCAGGGCTCCAATACCAGCCACGCAAATTAGAAACGAACGAGGGAGAAATGTTGACAACATAAATATGGACTTCGCAACAGTTGTCGAATGGGGATCCAATAACTTGATGGATTTCAATGCAAACAAAACACAAACATGCCTCTGCTCTAGAAAAGCCGAACTCACTATGCCCAACATAAGCTTGTCAGGAGAAACCATACCTTTTAAGACATCCATGTCGAATCTTGTTATTACTATCAGCAATAACCTTTCTTGGGAAGATCACGTGAGATCAATTGCTAAAAGTGCATTCTCTTTCGGGTCAGGAGCTATATCACTTCCAGCCAGCTGCTCATGATCTATAAGGCACAGATTCGATCTGTCCTGGAATACTGTTCCATATTTGGAGTGCAGCACCCAAACATACCCTGAACCTGTTGGATTTTGGAATATCAACAATTGTTCTTTCCTTGACAGTCCCTGCGAGATTAACCCGTCTAGTTGAGGCTTCGCACCTCTTCGTGATCAGAAGAAATATACATGGAGTTACCAGAAATACCTGATACAGAGGAATCAAGAATCATTTGCGAATTGAAGAAAGCAATATATGAATTGAAGCAATCAGGTCGCGTATGGAATGATACACTACATACTGAGCTGATGAAGCATCACTCGAATCAATCGAAGTCCACCTTCGGTTGTCTTTATCATCAGATTGAAAATGAAGACATTTTCATCGTCACGATTTATGTTCACGACATCTTGGTATTTGGACATAACAAGAGGGAAATTGGAGAATTCAAAGAAAAATGGAGGAGAGTATTCGAAATAAAAGATTTGGGACCAGTTCACCAATGTCTTGGAATAAGCATAGAGACAGATAAAAGAAGAGGAATCATAACTTTGGACCAAGAACATTATGTTAATCCGATTCTGAAAGAGTTTAACATGAGCAATTGTCATCCAGTTTCAATACCTATGCTGATAAACCAGAAATTGACTCGTGATATGGGACCTAACAACGAAGAAGAAAGAAATGAAATGGAAAACATTCCCTTCAGAGAAGCATTAGGTAAGCTGATTCATCTTTCTCAATAGACTGGGCCTGACATCAGTCATACAGTGAGTGTCCTCAGTAAATTCAATAATGATCCAGGAAGAGCCCATTGGACTGCGGTCGAACGAGTTTCACGATACCTTCAAGGCACTACGAGAAAGAAGTTGAATTATGAGAGAAGTAGCAGAAAGGAATTAACTGGATATTGTGATTCAGACTGAGGAGGAGACTCAGATGATCGCAAGTCTCATGTCGGTTATGTATTCAAACTTGGCAAATCCTAAATTTCATGGAATAGTAAGAAACAACCAACAGTAGCTTTGTCAACAACGGGAGTTGAATACATGGCATTGAGTCACGCAACAAAGGAAGCATTATGGTTGCAACAGTTGTTTCAAGAACTTGGATAGGAGAATATCAAATACAAGCCCATTGATATTTTCTGTGATAACAAGGGAGCCATTGAGTTACCGAAGAATAACGTGTTTCACCCAAGAAGCAAGCTCATAGATATTCGTCACCACTTTGTTCGAGATGCTGATGAAAATAAGAAAATTTGCGTGAGGCCTATTGCCACATATGATATGCCATCAGATATCCTTACAAAGATGAGACCTCAAGCAAAATATAGATGGTACATTCAAAATTTTGGTTTGATGTGAGATTCAGAATCTTCGCAAGGTAGCCAAGTATGTGGGGTGTTGAAATAATACACTCTCTATATATTATTCCATATCATAGCACCTTTGCGATGATTCTGAATAGTTGAATTCGTTGATATATAACCAATTTAGCAATTGTTATTGTGACACTGTCGAAGAATATATTCACTTTGATATACACGGTTTTCCTTATTCTGACCGAAATATTTCGGTGATATAGCACAGAAAGTTCGTTAGCGTTTCCGGTGAAACCAAGCGTATTTGTAGTTCCACTACGCCACTACGGCGGTTTGTATAAAATATTGGACCGAAATTTCGGGAAAGTGAACGGATAGCAGTTTGTTCGAATCAACCAGTGTTTGATTTGGACGATTTCAAAATGGCACAGTTCGCCGAAATGGTGTGGTGTGTTTGCTTTCAGACCTAGAACTCATTACTTCCATTACTTTTGTATAAAAAAATTGAATATTACTTTCTAGATTTTTCTATTTTCGACATGCAAACTATGCATCTACTTACCATAATGTGACACATAACTTTTCCTTGGGAGAAATAGGAATCGGATGCTTATTTGTAGGTAGTGAACTGTTTTCATCCTTTATATGATTCAGTAGATCATGGAATAGTGAGGGAGTTAAACGGAAAAATGCTCTGAATTTTGTATCATTATCCGAAAGATGTTTCAACACTAACAACTCATAAACACCTTCTTTGGCCCTTTTCTCAAACATGTCATCATGTTCTTCTTCTGAAATAATAGCAATAAAAAAATCCATTTTTCATTTTGACTTTGCCGCAAACACCCTACGAGAAGACTGAAATATATCGGAACAAAAATTTACGAAAATTTTCTTCAGAAAAACCACACATAGACGAAACTTCTGAACGAACTGAATCCGGCGAATATCCACGTTCTGTACGCTGATATTCGCCGAAATATTTCGGGCCGATCTGGTCAGAGAAACCAGGCCTCAATTCGTCAAAAAGAATAAATGAATACATATTTCTTCTATTCCAGGTTTCTTGGATGAGAAAGAGGGACCTGCATATCCTCACGTCCGGCGTGCACACGTATACGGGGGACGGTCGTTTCAGCGTTCGTCACTCCACGCACTCCGACGACTGGGACCTCCAAATCGAGTACGTTCAGAAGAGAGATGGAGGGGTATACGAGTGTCAGGTCAACACGGAACCAAAGATCTATCTGGCCATCATGCTGAACGTTGATGGTACGTCGAAAAGCGGGAAATATCACAGATAACGCGAAGACGTCCTTTGTACGTCCAGAGGACGTTCATCTGGGACGTACAAGACGTCCTGAAGACGTCCAGTTTCAGTTGAGAGAGACGTCCATAGGACGTACTGGGGATGTCCGATGTTAAAAGATAGAACGTCCCAGGGACGTACCTATCAGGCCCAAGTTTGGTATTTCATCGCCATGAATACCATAATCAACGTAGATTCGCCTTTTCTTACATAGATAGATAAAAAAGAAATTTATACAGAGTAGAGGAGAATCTTCCTACCGGGGATCGATCCTGCGATCTCTGGATTACCAGGCAGATGCTATAACCATTGCTCTACACAACGCTTGTTGGAATATGAGGCTTACCTCTGTTCAAAACATGCAAGTGAGAAGAAAACATTATATAGGTACATTGAGTGCACACTCCACCAAATGGAATTCGCTATGAATCAGAGGGAATGATCTGATTAGTCAGATATAGGACAGGACGTAGAATGTGCATCATCTTCATATCTTTCGAAATCGGCATCCAATAAAGATTGGATGTACATTATTCAGGATAATAAAATGCCAACATTGCCAGATTCACTTGAATTTCTCCACATTGGTCACAAAAAATCATTTTTGATTCATTGTGACCTATTATCAAATGAATCGGCAGATGATCGGCAGCTAACACCAAAGGGGCCTTATTACGACTCTATTTGGCATTTGGCAATGTTCCATTATCATTGAGAAATATAATGAATATAAAGTAAATTTTGAGTATAGAAAAATGTAGGACTAAAAATGGACGTCCTGAGAACGTACGCTCTTCACGTCCCGAAGACGTACGGGATGGTACGTTCCGAGAATGTCCATATCGGGTTCCGGAACATACGGACTCGAATCGGCCGTAATATGTACGTCCTCGGGACGTCGTGTGCTGTCTGGGATTCACTACCTCTCATAAAGTCGGCATCATATATGGGATAAACTTCAAATATCAATTTACGCAGGGTATAACATGAAGCTCTAGTCATGTTGTAGCCATCTAGTGGCAAAGCTCTAAGGTAGGATCAAGAGATCGCGACACACACTGTATGGCGCTGCCATTTATAGTCACACGTACAGACCCTTACGTCTATACGCTACAGGGTGGTACTACAAGTAAACGACTCTGCTGACAGATGGCACTACTTGACATATAATTGAGATGTTTCCCTGACCTCTGGCTTGTGAATACTCAGCTTACTCGACTCTAAGGTTTTGAAACCACAAACTCTGCTAACGATGCTTTCGAAACATTTTACTTGTTGAAAGTATCTACCTGCAACGGTTTTGGATGTAAGCAATCTTCAAGTTATAAATTATCAGGCAATTAAATCGTAGACATCATTCATATTTCTCAAAGTGGTCCAATTGATTTTTGGAAGAAAAACCGATGAAAGTCAGAAAGTTCGTCGACTTTCATTGCTTCTTCTTTTATTCGGCAATTATCTAGTTTTTTAGTTTTTCTTATGGTGACAAACTACTTTGCATTCAACCGTCCCGTGCACATGCGCTGTGGTGATTATTTCAACATGCAATTTCACATCAATGTACTAACTTTCGAATTCGATTCATCTACGACGGTGAAACGGTAATGAATTACCACATTTATAATCGAATCGTTCAATAAATCAGCCTGGATTGAAATAAAGAAGTCTCCTCGAAAGTGTTGATTCACTACTTTATCTGTGGAAGAAAAGCTGAAAATAAGCCGTTGATTTACAAATTGCTAGTAATTACTCGAACGATTTATATACTGGGCAACTGAGCTCGTTACTCAAGTAGCATTCATGCTGGGTACATTACTTCTCAATCGCAAAAACTGTGTGGATGGAACGGAAACGCCATTAGGTTCCCTCGATAATGTTTCATAACTCGTTCGTATTAGGTGATTTTTGAACTCCGACTTTCGCAGTTCAAATCATATTTGACTTTGAAAAAATAGACTTTCGAGGTCTCGAGCGGGTTGTCGGAAATCTGAGGATTTCGCAAATTCTTTGGAATGGTATTTCAAATCCAGTGACTTGAAGCAAAATTTGGAGCTACTACTGCTCTTAAGGAAGAAGGAAGATAGTACTCATTGTTTTTTCAACTTTTGTTGTTTTCGTTCCTGAAATGAAATAAGTATTCGTTCATACGAATCGTTCTCGATGCGTTCTACTGCCATCAGCCTGAAAAGTAGTTGTTTCTTTCATTTTATTGAATACTTGTGGACTTCATCAAGTTGATTTAGCCACACTCAACGTAGCATATTCATGGTTGTCATTCTAACTTCTGTATGCTACTTTGATGAGAGTTTTCTCTGTTCAAGACGTTGAACAGAAAAAGTATTCGAACACGTGAGGTTGTTTTTTTAAAATTCATAACAAAATTTCACAATCTCGAAATTACGGTACCGTGGAAAACTCTGGAACCATTTATGATGTCCTTACGAGATATCTCAATTATTTTCGAAGACAGAAATTTGCATTCTTTCATTGCTTGGGTCGCACTGAAGGAAATCCCTATAATGTTCGAGGAACCTCATGTGTACTTGAGGAGGTAAGTAGAGTAGTTCGCTTTGTTCTATTTACAAAAAAACATAACTTCAGATTATATCTGAATAATGACAGCTAATATCAGGCATTTGTCTATGCCACTAGATTATCCGTAGAAAAATTTATAAGATACAGTTTTTACTTTTCCTATATCTGAGTTGAACGATAGCTGAGATATAGGAGTGGTCCCAGAATGCAATATTTCAAATTTCACCCTATGTCTCGTAAACTAAGCAGGCTAATGAAATTGCAGTATCGTGAATCTCATAAAAAAGAAGCCATCGTTCGCGAGAACCGAAAATCTCCATTTTTAAGGATAAGTTAGGTATCCTGTGAGGACATCGAAAATACTGTACTGATGTAAAGGTGACTAAATGGTGTGTTCAATCGGAAAATGAAATGCCTATTGTATGTTTATTCTTCATTTCCAACTTGGCAAGCTTGGAAGCTTCAATATTAAAAAAAAACTGTCAGTGAAAGTTGCATCTCGAATTCCATTGTTTCAGATGCGCAGGCTTCAATCTCCGGCCCACCAGAAATCTTCGTGAAAAAAGGCAGCACGATCTCGCTCACGTGCACAGTCAACGTCCAATCGGCACCGCCATCCTCGGTCCTCTGGTACCATGGCCCTTCCGTCGTCGATTTCGACTCGCCCCGAGGCGGTATAAGTCTGGAGACCGAGCGGACCGAATTGGGTACCAAGAGCAGGCTGCTGGTCACCAGGGCCGCGCTGACCGACACGGGGAACTACACGTGCGTGCCTTCGAACGCCAGTCCTGCTTCGACGGCAGTCCACGTACTAAACAGTAAGAGGTACAACAAATCGGGGTCCGAACAGAGTGGACCGTCGCGATTAAATAGGCGACGCGATTCGTTTATTGAAAACATTGAAGTTAATATCACATTGACCCATTGGATTATCATTGACGTCGAATGAAATTGATGTGATGACAATTTCATAAAATTCACTTCGCTGAACGATGGATGTAACATCAGTAGCTATCTCTCTCCGACACATTATGCTCTATAACTTCCCCCTCTCTCCCTCACACATTCAGCAGCTACGGCCACAAATCTACATAGTCAATGTTGCATGATGATTTGCGTTATGATCGGCTTTGTATATCTACTGCCCGAAGCGGGCACCAGGAGCTGCGTGTTAGTCACCAGGGCTACGCTGACTGACACTAGTCCTGCTTCGACGGCAGTCCATATACCAAACCATACGAGTTACAACAAATCAGGGTCTGAACAGAGTGAACCGTCATGAATACATGGACGACGGGACTCGTTCATGTATAACGATGAAGTGAAAGACACGTTTATCAAACACACATCGTTCGACGAAAGATGTGACACCAGCAGCTATCTCTCTCTGACAAATCCTCTCAATACCCTCTCTCTCTCTCTCTCCACCACATTCAACAGCAACGGCTACAACACCACAAGGTCAATATGACATGAAGATTTGCGCTAGAATTGACTTTGGATATCTACTGACCAAAGCGGACCCCAGGAACATCAGAGCGGCGTTGACCGACACGGAAAATTACTCGTTCGTGCCTTAGAACGACAGTCCACGTACCAAATCATGAGAGGCGAAGCAGATCAGTGTCCGAACAGAGTAACACGTCGGGATTAAATAGGCGATGCGATTCGTTCATGAATAACAGTAAAGTAAAAGTCACACTGACCGATTGGATTATTGGCGACTCTCTCTCTCTCTTTCTCTATCTCTCCCTCTCTTCCTCTCTCTACAAAAACTGAACAGTAGGAGGTATCACCCATCAGGATCAATCAGAGTGGGCCGTCGCGAGAGAAGAAATGTATAAAATTGTGTGAAACAAAAACAAACATGATATATATCACCATTGAACAAGTCATTTCTGAAATAATCGATGAACTCTTCGATACTGTGAGAGACTATCGCGATTAATTTTTTTTATCCAAATGACATTGAAAGTGGATTTTTGATGACACTTAACAGGCAGAAAAAGAGTACTTGCACTGCCTAGGCAGAAAAGCAACGTTCAAGTAATTTGAATCAAATTGGTAATCAAAATTGACAATGACTTTGGGTGAACAAAAAATGATGGATTATTTGGACTTTGCGTGGAATTGAAAATAATCTGGAGAAAAAATTATATGTGTCACATGGCAGAAAAGAATATGTTATACCTGATGGTTTCATAGCCTCGGCTACGCTATTCTGCCAAGTAAAACAAATAACTATTGCAAATCGATTCGCTTATTATTTGTGCTTATACACTAATAATTCTAGAAGCTGATTTATACAAAGAATGAATAAGACTGGCCCCAATACAAAATCCCAATGTACGCCAATTTAATTATCTAATTGAGATGATATGGAATGAGTATACTCTGCAAACTTCACTCTGCCATATTCATGTATTTCGAATTAATCAAGAAAGAATTGCTGTATTGATAGTTGATCGTTTGACTTTCTGTGCTTCGATTCATCACAGCTTGCGACATGACATGACAATCTATTCAAAGTTACCGGAAACTCGAACCTATTTTATTTTCATTGCGACATTCTTCTCCGAATATTTTGCCGAACTTTAACCACAAATTCAAAGTTCTTGATAGGTGACTGGCTGGTGTTGCTCAGTTGGAAGAGGGAACATTTTAATTTATATTCAGAACAACGCCTTGATCAAAATACTTGAACTTTCAGAACAATTCGAATTTGAAGCATACTTTGACAATGGAAAGTTTGTAAGAGATTGGATAGTTCATTTTCAATAAAGAAAATGTGTCTTTTGAAAACTGTCTGGAATGCTAGTGATGGAAGATTTTAATGATATACAGGATGTCTCAAAACGTGATTTCTTGGCTCTATGTGGGACTAGAAGTTCTCATAATAGTAGATTGTTTCATTAGGATCAAAAGTGACACTTTGTTTGACAAGCGAAAATTTGCGAGCCGAACAAAGTCACTTTTGATCCGAATGAAACATGCTATTTTTCTGCAACCGAAACAATTAACAACAACAAACAAAAATAAACATGTGAAGTAACCACCAATGCCGTGCCATATGTATGCAATGCAACAAATATTGACAAATAATCCATGAGGTGAGAATATTCTACCTGCATTAACAGCAGGTTAGGTTTTCTAGGATGTTCGAATTGTAGTTTCAATATAAATACAACCACAGAGTGACATATTTGTGTATGGACCAGGTGCTCTAATGGCAAATACCGCGCCAGTGCCAGCTATAGGAACAAGACGGTTAGTGAGCATATCAACAATGATAATAGTGATTATTTATTCCTCTCCATACTACACTGTGTTTGACTTGATAATAAAATGAAGTTGAACAATATCGTTGTTTGAGACAAAAAACTATTGCTTGCCGTGATTATTCAAAAACAAGTTATTAATCCCGAGAATAACGAATGAAATACAGATCAAGCAAGTATTTGAATCTTGAAGACTTATCTGATCAGAACAAAAATACTCGACTGAGATGTTTATAATTTCAATACTAAACTATAATAAGGTGTATTTATATCCCCAGCATGGGTATGAAATGCCAAATCTGCTGAAATCGGAAACAAATCAGGTTTGCGTCTCAACCCAAATAACCAACCGTCACAATGTTGTTTATTCTTGATGACGTCCAGTAGATCCTTTTTAGTTCCTAGGAGCTAGAGTTGAACTTTAGCTCCTAGGAACTAAAATTCAACTTTAGCTCCTAGGAACTAAATATGCTGCCTAGCAACATACCTATTTTCGTGTCAGTAATAGAAACGTCAATTTGAGGGCTAATTTTGGTATCAAAATGGACGACTTTTGTGTCGGTTGCAGAAAATAGTTATTTATGTACCAAGGACGAAACACTGTCTATTTTATAGTCGAGTCTGCAAATTGATAGCTGTAGGCATTAATAGATCAGGTTTATTCAATTCTCAAGGATGTTGGAATTGTAGTTCCAATATAAATATTACAAATGGACTATGTAATTGTGTTCGAGTTTCTTGTTGAATTTAATGGATACCAACCTATGTTGTTCATTCTTGATGACATATAACATCTTTTTCGGTTCCTAGGTGTTAAAGCTCAATCTCAGCTCCTAGGAACTTAAAGTGTTGCCTTGGTATTGAAATGGACGACTTCTGGAACGGTTGCAGAAAAAAGTATATTCTTCTATTTTGCGTCTTCAGTGCTATAAGGACACCTTGATGATTTTTCCAGAGAAAAGGTTGAACTGATAGTAGGGCTATTCAAATCTTTATGATGATATGATGAGCAGACTGCTGCTTAGTGTCGTCCAGGAAAATATTGATGATCCAGTTCTTTATCTTAGAAGCTTTATTTTGATTTCAAAACTCCATTGTTGTTTGTTGAGCTGTGAGCTTAGATAGAAAGACGAAAGTCAGTTCTCCATCATTTATTTATTATTTTAGTTCCATTGACTAGTTACACTAACGAATTTTTTATTTTGTTCAAAACACCATTTCAGTATGTTTCCTGATATTGGTCTGCATATTTATCGTAAACTGATCTCCATTTCTGATAGTCTTTAGGATCCTGTTTGATGGACAACGTAGTATTGATATTCACGTACGAAAACAACCCTGGTTCCACTTGTGGCCAATTCATACCAGTAGGGCTGGGATTCCTGTTTGGACAACACTATGAAATATTCTGATAAAAAACCAAGAACATAAACTCACGAAAATTTTATGAAATTCGTCCAGATTTCCAGAAGTCGAGCCTGTGCGTCGAGATCAGATTTCGGGAAATTTTCAAGGTCCCTGTTGCTTCTCATTCTGAATAAGAAGTTGTTTTCTTCTGAATGGCCAACTCTTTCAGCTCCTACAATGAATCATATACAGATTGTTAATCGAATCGTTACATATAGAAGTATTGAGAAAGGATATGGTAACATCGTAGGCACAGAGAGCAACGCTCACCGTTAGACAGTTGGGCGCATAATGCATTTTAGTTCCGATCCTAACGCAGTGGCGTAGCTATGGTAGGAGAGGGGGTCCAACATAATTATTATTTATGTCATTGTTCTCAATTCGAAGTTCATCATTGATATTGATATAATCTACTTATTTTTGTGATATCACAGTGTCGCTATATCTTATAATAATCATGGATGGAAGCAAACAGTCATTAGTACCCTAATAGCACACAACGTCCTAGGGACGTCCCTATTTGGTACAATCCACGTCCGAATGTCCCGAACCAAAAATAAGTGTCCTTGGGACGTCCCATCCCGTACATCTCATGCAATGTCTGAGCAAGAAATAGCATCCCTCAGATGACCAACGTGATACATAATGTAGAATGTCCATGCAAGGACGTCCTTGGCATGTCCCTGATGGGATATGATTTTGAACGTTCCTTTAGGGACATCCATCGGATGTCTCGAGTAGTACATATTCTGGCATGACTTCAGATCTTATCTAATGTCCCTTATAGACAACAATGAAATGTCCCTGATGGTACATTCCTTCAAATATCTCTGCACAGACGCCCTTAATATTTCCAGGATCGTATAACAATCCTTCGAATGTCCCTTAGGGATATCCGTCGGATGTCCCAATTGGTACATGAGCTGTACTCTCCCAATGTCCTAGAAATAACGTCCTATGGATGTCCCAGGCGGTACTTTCAATATGTTGTCCCTGCGAGGACGTTTACTTACACCTCGCCGACCAATGATTGTTCGTAGGCTATAAGTACTCCTCGTCAATGTCCTTCACGTGAGTCCATTGGACATCCGTGGTAAACTTTTTGGGGACCTTCTACGGACCATCAACTCAACTGGATGTCCTAATCAGTTATGCAAGATCTGGTCCTAGAGGGACCCAGAAAAATTCAAAATCAAGAATAATTCATACGTCCCTGGGGCATCCTATGGACATTCAATTGATATCCCTCAGCGTTGCTGATAGGTTGTCCTATGGATGTCCTAAGAATGTCCTCTGTAGTGCTTGATGAGGAATACTGCAGGATTTAGGTATTCGATAGTTGTCCCAGGGACATCCCTCAAGGACGTCCCTAGTTGATCCTCAAGTGGAACATTTGTGCGTCCCACATACGTCCAATGGACGTCCACGGTACCAAATTCAAACGTTCTTTGGACGTTCTGAATGTCCCGACAGGACGTCCTAAGGATATCCATGAGACATAAGTGTGTTATTAGGGTATATTACGTAATATGTGGTGTAAGAAGCATATTACGCACGAATGGAAAACTGACGCATGCAGCCGCAGAGCGCGAGTGCGTAATTCCATGAGTAGGTACGTAATTGCTTTACAACACGCATAACGTACTATACTTTACCTACTGCCATATAGAACATCAAAATAGTATTTTACGTGATATGTGTTGTAAGAAGCATATTACGCACGAATGGAAAAGTTAGAAAAGAATGGAAAAGTTAATTGCTTAACAACTTGCATTAAGTACTATACTTTACCTACTGCCATATAGTACATCAAGAAAGTTTGGCAAAACAGTATGAATTATAATTCTTGACAGTTATGTCATCCGCTGTTGACGGCGATTACGCGATCATGACTGGCGGAATTAACGAAAACTGTGCAATGTGCTTACTGTGCGTAAAGAGCTACTTACTGAGGCTGTACCTCATGTGTTCTTGCCTTCTTTCTCTAGTGTCCGTAGGTAATAGTATATTACGTAATATGTGTTGTAAGAAGCATAGTGCGTAATTGCTCTACAACACGCATTACCTACTATACTTTACCTACTGTGATACAGTACATCAAAAAAGTCTGGCCTAACAGTCTGAATTATAATTCTTGACAGTTATGTCATCCGCTGTTGACGGCGATTACGCGATGATGACATACCTATACTGGCGGAATCAACGAAAACTGTGCGATGTGCTTACTGTGCGTAAAGAGCTACTTACTGAGGCTGTATCTCGTGTGTTCTTGACTACTTCATATAGTAGCCGTATGTAAACGCTTCCACAGGTTGAATATACTTATCTGTGGAAATTTGAGTTGACATAATCGTGATTGTTTGCTCTGTTGGCATTATTTTCATGTGACGAATATCTTGAATAAATAATGATACTCATTGATTATAACTGTCAGCTGATGAAAAAGGAATTTCTTTCATCTTGAATCCGTGTTAAATCGAAATCCCCGTGAAAAGTAACTGCACAATAAAACGGAGGAGACAGCGGTAAACAGATAGCATTAGATATACAGGGTGTATCTAAATAACACCGAAAAAATTTAAGGATCGATACCTGGTAATATTTTGGGAATGAAACGTTCTTTTTAATAATTACTCAAATGTGTGTTCATTACTTTCAATGAAACGATGTTGTTTCGTTGATACTGATATGGAGCTTCTTCTGGTGAAATATGATTCGAAATAATATTGCCAGTGACGTTACAGTGGGTGAATTTATCGATATTTATGGCGCATATCATTGTAAGTCACCAGTTTTTCAGAGTTTCATATTTTTATTAGAATGAACTATTGATGATATTTCAGAACTTTTTCATTTAATGTGTGATTTTTGTATCTAGCTTAGTTTTTGAGGTGAAAATAAAAATTCGATTCAATACTTTCAAATTAAACATCCTGTATCTCAAAAACGAAGCAAGAGGACACATAGTTATATGAACTTTATTTGCTGAAATATCACAAGGAATCACCTCTTGAATTCTTGGGTATTTCAAGAGGTAGTATAGTCATCTCCACTTTATAATTCAATATTTCTCATTACATTTACCCCACTATGAGATGTCAGGAACTTTTTCTACAGACTATTTTAAGAGTTTTCTGACTTCATTTGGAAGGATTTTTTGCTGCATTAACAATGGGACCTTCCAGTATCGTAAATTTTGACCCGTTTTCGCAGTAATGTTATGGAGGGAAGTCAGAAACGTTATTTCTATCACATATTTTTTTAATTGACTCGGCCGCTACTTGATGGAAATCCATGGCAAATATCAAAACTTCACAAACGATAAGATTTTCACAAAATTCTCATACACACGACATGTCCCGCTAACACAGTAGCTTCATCAGGTGATATACTGGTACATTGAACTAAACCAACCTTGGCTTGCCTAACCTTTATATATCCTACTTTCTCGACCTGAAGAATTAGTTACCTGTGGACAGGTTCGATAAACCTTCATTTTCGGAAATTAGGCACAATATCTACATTAAAATACAGTGTACCGGATTCACTTGAAAGGGTTTATAGCAAATACAGATTATCTACTATAAGAGAACAGTGGTGAACTATTGAGGTCTAATTGATCGTTAAGTAAAATGACAGAATTTTTCAGTTTGTTGACTTCTAATGATTCAAAATGATTGGTCAGACAGGTCGTACGTTTTATCAGCGCATTCATGAACATAAACTGATTTTTTTGGAAAAGAAAACAAATTCAACATACGCCAATCATATATCAGAACAAAAACCATAGTTTTGATGATAACTTCGAAATTCTACAAGTAGAAAATAAAGGAATAAAACTCAATCATTTCGACTGGTTGAATGAACAACGATATGATTGTATGAAATATAAAATATACTCTACCTAAAGAAAAAAGGATAGAACTAGAACTCTTAACATTTCTCACCTTCTACAGATGCATTGTTATTGTTGAATAGGCCATGGTATGAAAATTGATAAAAAAATAAAGTGGAATACTTTTTTTGCAGATCAGCATGTCTAATGACCGCTGTCGTGTATTTCGCATCGCTCATGAACTGAAAAATCAAGGTTTATCGTTAGACAACTCGAATATACAGTGGTTCATGAACTTGATGATTTAGGAATTCATCGAAGTCAAAATCGATCTTATCACCATTCAATATATTATCACTCACCCTTACAAAAGACCCAAAATCTTTCTCGAACGATCCATTGGTGTAAATGCTTTTGATTTCCAGGCCTGCAATCAATTTATATTCATTCTCTATATTCAGGTTACCATTGATAAGATATGAAGGACTACTATCAAAGTAGCCTGTTTTCGACCACAGCTCCTTCGAATCTGCAAACCAACAAGAGGGCTACTTAGACTTAAACTTCCCAAGATTTCAATTACGTTTCTAACCAAAGTGGATCTGTTCTTCTGAATTGATTCCAATAAGAGTTGGTATGGCAGAAAATTTCCCATGTTTGAGATTTTCATGCATCGCACCTATCACGAAAGATCCATCGATAACTGGGGCCCAAACTCTATTGTCTTCATTTCCTACAGAGTTCCTTAGTTCTGTTGGTATCTAGAAATGCCCTTTTCTCATGTACAGTGTGTCCAGTATTCGATGCTTTTGCGTGATATCTCAGTTAACTCTATAGAACCTTCCGGTTTTCGTGGTCCTGTGCCACTTTTTTGTGAAACTTAAGATGGCCTAAACAGATTTTGCAGGACTGTTTCCGTTTATGAGATTCATGGCGATTTTGAAAATTTATACTTTTTGGACCCCTTCTAGTTTGGCAGCGAAAATGTCAAATCGGAATTTTATTCAATACATTTCAAAATTTTTTTCGGGGTATGGTTTTGGAGATACGACTCAAACCTATGAGTTTGTAAATGGAACACCACGTATTTCATAAACTCATTGAACTACTTATTTTTTTTCCCTTCAAAATGATATGCAAGGAATAAATATAAAATTTCTAAAAATGCTCATGAATCTCTACAATATTGAATTTTAATAGTGGGCTATGTATATTTTGAATGAAAAATGTTTCAATTGGAGAAATATTTATTGTTATTTTTCCATGCAGAGGACAAAACCAATAACAACACGAATTGATTAACAGAACACAAAACTAAGGAACCTGATAGCAATGAATGAATAGTAATAAAAAGTACATAATGCAGAAAAGGCACCTGATGAAATATTCACCGATATTTACTAAAACAATTGGATTTCGAAATTATTGAGATACTCATTCATTGAATTGTTCAAATTGATGTCCATTTTCCCTAACACACAATTGACCCACTTTCTCAATACGACTCAAGAGGTCCAAAATATTTGAAGAACTTCCTTTATCCTTTAATGATTTTGAATGCATTCATACCCATCAAGGAAGTTTGTGAGGAACAATGGACATCAATTTGAACAATACAATGAATAATTTCGAAATTCAATTGTTTTAGTGAATATTGAATCAAGTGCTTATTCAACATTATGAACTTTTTATGACCATATATTTGTGGATACCAGGTATCTGAGTTTTGTGTTTTGTTAGCTAATTAGTGTTAGTATTGTTTTCACCCCCTTCATGGAACAATCAAGAGAACTATTCCTTCAACTGAAACTTTTTTTATATGAGAACACCATAGCCCAATATTGAAATTCAAAGTTCCAGTGATTTTTAAAAATTTTTGAAAATGTTATTACTATAAATTATATATCATTTGAGGAATTCGATGAGTTTATTTAAAAAATCATAAGTTTGAGTCGTATCTCCAAAACTATTCCCGATAAAACAAAATGAGTGCGTCACTGGATTCTAGATATAAAGGGGGTCCAAAGAGTCTGAACATTTTCGAAATTGCCTTGTATCTTATGAACTGAAACAGTCCTGCAAAATCTGATAAGGCCATCTTAAGTTTTACAAAGAAGTGGGACAGGACCGCGAAAACTGCAAGGTTCTATAGATAACTGAGATATCATGCAAAACACCGAAAACTGGATACACTGTACGTACTCTGTTTCATAAGGATATAGGGTCAGAATAAGACGGACAAATTTTGTACAAGGATTCCATACCACATTTTGAAGTGCAAATTTCTCATCAACGTATGTCCTTAAATGCATCCTTTCTGAGATACAGGGAGACAAATGTACGAATAGAATCAAGGTAAATATTAATTTATTCGGAACCCCTCGAGGAAAAAATTGAAACTTGGTAAATTATTCCAGATTATTCAGTGTAGTCAAATGGAGTGTACATTCATGAATTTTGATTACCAGTGGCGTGGTGATGGTCGTATAGCTCCACATTTTCATTCCTATTTTTTCTTTGACGGATGAAATGTCAAATTGGTAAGTGACAGCATGCAGTTAAGCTTATTGATGCATCAGCTACATAAAAACATAAACAGTTCACCTTGACATAACGTGTAGAATAAAAAGTGAGTTTGTCGACCTACTTCTGACTCAACTGTTACATATGTTTCCAGTGTTCTAAAAATTCAAGAATGTTCAGGAGGTTAAGCAATGTTCTGATAGGTACATATGAAAAATCAGCGTTATGGGATTGTGGCACGCAGCAAGATACATCTTCAGTTTCTCACAAATATCTCAGGAACCTCTACAAAAAGAAAGTTTGTCGACCTTCTTCTGACTCAACTGTACTATATTTGTTTCTACTATTCTCAAAATTCAAGAATGTTCAGAAGGTTGAGAAATATTCTGATTATGAAAAATCAGCGTTATGCCATTGTAGCACGCAGCAAGACAAATCTTTAGTTTTTCGGAAATATCTCAGGAAACTACATGTGATGAAATGTCATTACTTCGAGGTGAAGTATCAATAAGTCTAACTTATGTCACCTAACAATTTGACATTTAATCAGTCAATGAACGAATATGAAAGAAAATGTAGCGACATACGACCATAACTACGCCACTGGAAATTGAAATTCAAAAATAGAAACTCCATGTGACTACATTGATTAATCTGGATTAGTAAAACGAGTTTCAATATTTTTCCTCCAGGGGTTTTGAAGAAATAAACATAAACCTTCATTCTCTTCGTACCCTTTGATTTCCTGATATATCTCAGAAAGGATACATTTTAGGACATACGTTTGAATTCAAATTCAGTTTCATCAATTGTGAAGCTTATAACATCTCATTGATAGAATATATTGGAGTTCCTAAATGTACTTGAGACTGCTGTTTTGGCGTCATTTGTATATTGATCATTCTAGAACACGTGATTTTGACATGGTTTCTTGAGGGGCACACAAACTATCATCCACAATATAAAAACAGTTTCACCAAACAAAATTATGAAATTCTTTCTGGTTCCAACTCGGATTGTTAGGAAAAGGATCCCACTGATTCTGGTTTCATATGACAAATCTCAACAAGATACAATGTTTGCCTCTCAGCAACCTGTCAAATGACGTAATTCTAAAATGATCAATTAGAGTACGGACACTATGACAAGCACTGACAATCAGACATAACCACAAATAAATTGATGGAATAAGCTGGAACTGGTCATGTATCGCTTCTTTGAAGTTGAAATCCCAAGTCTGAATGTGCATGTTCATGCGTAGAAGTTTGTGATGAGCTTATGTATTGAAATATGTATTTTTTGAAAATGTATGTGCTATGAGTTTCCAAACAATGAAGATTAGGAGAAGTTAGCACTATCAAGTATTAAACACTTAAGGCTTACCGCTATATCACTATGTTTCTTGATATCCTCTGCTGAAGCATTTTGCAATACTTGGAGAACATGCAGTGACGAAATGTAGGGCGGAGCTGTGTCTTGCAGGAGAGATACTAACTTATTGGCGTAATATTTTGGATGTTTTTGAAACATTTTTGAACATAACGGTGAACCACTTTGCATGATAGCACTTCTGAATAAACCTGAAAAACATTGCAGGGATGCAGGGCTTTGCTCTTGACTGCGGTTACCTGATTTTGCACACAAAAGTAGAATTTCGTGAAAAATAAAATATGCTTGAACGAATATATCCTCCCGAAATAAGAAACCTATTTTATGTACATGATATATCAAATTCAAATGGTTATAAATGTGAATATTGAATTAGGTGAGACCTAGAACTGTTCTTGGTGGCACACCATAGTCAACTGTACTGGTTCAGTGATCTACGTTCCAAAACATTTGATTATTGAATCAATTAAACATAATAGAGGTTGAACCTCACCTGTTGATTGTGGGCTCAACAAATGGTGTCCAACAGACGCTGCCCCAGAACTTTGACCTCCCAAAGTGATTTTGTTAGGATCGCCACCAAACGCGTGGATATTTTCCCGCACCCATAGCAAAGCCTGAAGCTGGTCTTCTAGACCCATGTTACCAGGTATCGTACTGTCGTCTGTTGAAAGAAAACCTGTAAAATCGGAATAGTCAAAATCAGAAAAAAACATGCAAGCACATGGAAAAGTACGAAAGAGTTTCTACATGATATTCATTAGAAATTGTAGTATTCATCCAATGAATGAACATAAATCTCATTTCTGAGAGTGATCTCATGTTTAGTGAATCATTGCAGTATCACTGAAATATGTACCTACCTAATTATCTTCATTCACTGTGCTATTCTCGTTTTTTGTTGAATTACTCATCTAATGCAACTATCAGCTCTGTATATCTTGGACGCATTATTTTATACTATATTCTCAGTATTCTCAGATATTCTCATGATTGTTCAATGCAAACTCCAACCAAATCGACAATGATAGGTAATTTCATTGGGAACTGAGGAAAATAATGAGAAACAGTGCAGCAATTATCATTTACGCGTCACCAATCAGACGTGCGTGATGCGTGACGCGAAAAGCAAGAAAGCTGCATTGGGAACTCCCCTTGAGAGGTTCAACTTATAGCCATTGAAGAAAACAAATGAGAAAGCTGTTTTCGTGGCCAACTCGTAAGAACAGGATCCGTCTTCAATTGATACTATCGTTCTCATCTCATCAAGATAAAGCACATATTTCTACAGATTGAATTCTGCTTGAAGAGGAACATGATCCGTATCTAATTGATATTATCGTTCTCATTGAATTGATGAGATGAAGCATATATCTCTACAGATTGCACAGAAAAAGAGGAATTGTTGAATCAAGCCAAATTTTATCGAATGAAGCAAATATAAGTGTCACATATGCACGACAAAATATAATATTGAAATGGGTAAATCCATATCTTGTTTCAGAGCGAATTTGAAGTTTGAATTGAGTAAATATGTCTTACATGAATTCTGGATATTATTCAATCAAGCACATCCATTAATTGTTCATGAAGAGATATTGAATTGGCTCAAAGTATCATTTTGTTTGCTTCAAAATACCAAGATATTGATTCAATGAAATATTCAGTTGATTCAATGAAATATTTCGTTGATTCAAAGGAATATTTGGTTGATTCAATGGATTATTTGGTTGACTCAATGGAATATTTGGTTGATTCAATGAGATATTTTGTTGATCCAATGAAATATTTTGTTCAAGAGAAACTGTATTTCCAATCGACAAATGTTTTGTTGAACCAACCTCTGTATAGATTCGATAATTTCCTGAAATTTCACATCAATATAGAACAAACTAAACTAGGAAACTACTCGACTTCTAGCATATATCTCCAGTCTTTACTTTTCTTCAGCTGAAGCAGAACTATTACGGCTTGCTAAGTATCCTAGGTTAGATTTATCCAGCTGATATTATATTTCAAACAAGAAGAATTAGGCCTCACGTATATGTATAATGAACTCGAGGCAGGCATAGACGAGACGAAATGATCGCCATCTAGAGGCGAAAATTCAACTTGATGTAGAATGAACGAAATATTCCATTGATATTACATATTTCATTGCTCTATTCAAGCAAATGATCCGTTCGAAACGAGCACATTGCCAAGATCGGAATATGAAAACTTGAAAGATATATTCTCATCAAAATGACCATCATTTCATCAGATCAACAAAATGTTTATAGTTAATCAACATCGACTTTATTTTGGATCGACATGATTTGTTTTTGAGATAACCATATATTTCGTTGATGGAATTGATATTATACTGTTGATTCAATAAGACTACATTCTTGATCCGAACAAGCTGCTTCCATGAAATAATCATGTATCTGTTTGATTCAACAAAAAATTGATCAGGCCAATAAAAATAATTCAAGCATAAATACTTTGTTGATGCAACAAATCCTTTTTTTCCGTGGTATTCTGGATCCGTCTTCAATTGATACTGTTGTTCTCATTGAATTGATAAGATAAAGCACATATTTCTCCAGATTGTATTCTGTTTGAAGGGTGGAAGGCTTACCAAATGCTCCTAGGCGATAGTTGAGGGTCACAAGGATTATCCCATAGTCCATCAAGAATTCTGGTCCGAAGGATTCGTAAGTACCATCATTGAAGATAAATTTTCCGCCGTGAAGGAAAACATAGACGGCCAGCGGATTTTCTGTAGGACCTAGCACTGGAGTATATACATTGAGGTACAAGCAGTCTTCCGTCTCTCTGGAATCGTTCCTTTCTAACTGGTAACATATTTTCGTGTTTTCAGTCGCGTTCCATGTATGGTTCCATTTTTGTGGAGGAACAGGACTCTGTAAGAGCTCACAATCATGATCCTTTCTAACTATAATTTGCGTTGGAATTTTTATCGAGAGAATAATTGTACAAATATTGTATTTCGTGCATAGTAGTTCATTCAGAATACCATAGCAGAGCGCTTTCGGAAATTAAGCCATCATCAGTGCATACCTGTAGGTAAGTAATCAGTGTTAAGCTTTTGGAGAGGAATAGCCGTTAAGTAATTCAAAATTTGAAATAAGTTAAAGTGAGGTCACTTACTCTCACTTGCTCGTCAACTTGAAAAGAAATTCTTCATAAAAATTATTAGGTCCTGTTAGGTAGTATAAACACTATTGCTAATCACGATAAACTGAGATGATTTGTGAATTACATTTCGTTACATTTATTAAGCAGCCAACATGGCTTCTCAAAACAATTTTGACAATAATTATTATGTGAACATTGTAAACATTGAAAATGAATGGATAACCAAATCTCTAAAAAGCAACTATTGTACTGGTCTAATGAGAACCCATCCAACCATTCTCTTACCCAGACAGCATTGTTCGGGAGATAAGAATTTCAGATATTGTGCCAATTTAACGATGTGGTGCTATGTTGAATTCAATTCTTGTTCTGATATGGTTTATCCAATATAGAGTTTTACTTACGGAAACAGGTTCCTGATAATTCTCATTCAATTCGAATATAGATGAAGAAACCCAAAGTCATCTCCTCAACATTTATTTGACGATCAGAGATCGATCACATAGAGGTACATATTTTGGGCTTATATAAGCCCATCATAAGCCGAATACAAGAATTAGCTCTAGACAGACCAACAATGACATAGGATATGTTTTTCTAGAACTTATTCTTGTATCCGGCTGATGATAGGCTTATATAAGCCCGAAACATGTACCTTTATGTGATCGATCTCTGATCGTCAAATAAATGTTTTGGAGATGCCTTTGGGTTTCTTCATCTATGAAGGATGTGATCATTTCGCAATATTATCTTTGAGTTGAATTCTAATATTCAATCAATGTTGTATTTCTTTTTTGCTACAAAATTCAAAGTCAAAATTCGAAGTCGCATTAGCCTCATTAAAAAATTGCGTTATTGGAACAATATTACAATAGCATATTGTATCAGATCCAATTCCATTTTCTGTTTCCCAGTTAAACGAATGCTGCGGTATTTGATGCCGCTGAGCAATCTTTTTTTGGAGACGTGCTAGTGGCGCCAGCTGTTAAAACGTCTCTCAAATACTAAAGGAATATTGCTAATATCGATTGAATATCAGGAAAACAATATCAGTGCAATATTGGTTCTGACGTATTTCATTAGTTATATCTATCTGAAACGGGTCCCATATTGAGAAACTAATATTGGCTGAATAAAAAATACAAATATGGAAACAATGTTCGTTGCAAATATCGTGCAATATTCAATAATTATCTCAAACATAATATAGGAACTTCATAATTTTGCTGTAATTTCTTCGATATTGAGATCAATAATTCAAAAATGATATAGATGTGATAACATTTTCATTATATCGAATTTACATTATAGAGCCACTATCAGTGCAATATTGCGGGACAATGAAATGCAATATTTACTAACCATCATGAATCTGATATTATTGTAATATTCCTTCGCAAGATTGATTCGATATTAGAAATACATCGTCATGAGAATTGACATACTTATCGTTAATATTTCGCCAATATCAAATAGATATTGGCGAATGAATACCGGCCAGTCACCAAATTTTAATTTTATCACAACATTGGCACACGATTTTTTTATTTCTTGGAGCGCACGAAAGGAAATTGAAATTCCTATAGTGTTCGTGGAACATCGTGCATACAAAATGGAAAATTGATTTGATATTTGGCCAATCTAGTAACTCCATATTCAATATCTGAATATTGGGCTAATGTGAAACCTAGTTCTATAGCTAATATGATGTTCTACCTGAGAAAACGTTGCCCTGCCCACATATTCATCGGAAACTTCAACTTTCAAGGTTTTATTCTTTGGCAGATAAGCACAACATTTGCTTTTGTTGATACTTCTTATCCGATTGTTTGCATCAAAGTTCTAGGATGGAGTGGAACAGATTTATAATAGGTACTTACTCTGAATCTCAAATGACCCACTGGTGGGGAGGCATATGGAATTTGTTGGAAGGCATAGAACTGACTATTTTTTTGACTCTGCAATGATCGTCCTCTGATTATTCCATCGGATATTGTGACAATCGGGTCGCCATTATTTTGCTGAAAAACGTTTGGCACTGAAAGCAACTAGGAACACAGGCATAAAATAGTGTTTGGAAATTTTTACTCACGGTATCTGTAGCAAAGACCCCAACCAAATTGTATAGGAGGATTGCAGTTGCCAAGCTGAAGTGGGTCATATTACAGCGCAGTAGTAGTGTATTACGAAATGGAAACATTCCATGGAATGAATGTTATATATACTTATTTATTACGATTATTCAGCTAGTCGCGAACATATTTTTTTTTTTTTTTTTTTTTTTATCGCTTGGAGCGCACGAAAGGGAATCCCTATAATGTTCAAAGAACATCGTGCGTTCCTTGGGAGGATAGGGACAGGAGGTAGGTATTGGAATTTTTTTTGAACTTTTGGAGATTATATGTTGTTGGGAATACTTCCACAGGCAATGAATTCCAGAGCCTAGCCGTTCTGTGGATGAAGGAGTCTTGATAAAGTGCTGTTCGACATCTTTCGAGGTTGACAACGAAAGGATGTGCTGACTGGGCTTGTCTAGTTCGTCTGATTGGTATTGCTAGTGAAGGGATGATAGCAGAGATTTCCGAAGAACATTTCCCGTGGAAGTATCGATAGAAAAGTGAAAGGTCGCCGACCTTTCTACGATGTTCCAATGATGTCAAAGAGTGAGTGAGTGTGGCGTCACCCACCAGGCGAATGGCTCTTCTCTGGATGGAATCTAAGAGCATCAGTGTATGTTTTGGTGCTGAACCCTAAAAATAATATGGTGACCGTAAATATCAGTCAAAAATTTAAGTAACTCACGTTCAGCGATCAACTGATTTTAATATCATACATATTGTTATACTTCGCCATATTGAGAAGATAGTCGACTCATTTATGATTGTTTTTATTTGCTATCTGAGAAAATTGGAGTATATACCAATTTTAATCATGTTGGAATAAATATTTGTACTAATAAAGCAGGCAATTGCGAAAAATTATGGTCCAATAAATTTTGCATAAGCCAGAATGAATATCAGCATTTGCAAGTATAAACAAGACATTTTTAAGAACGAATAAACCTTTCATCGATTATCCATTATCAATCATTCTTTGAAAGAAATTATGTTTGCAAATCAGTCCAATATTTCTCGACTACTTTTCTTCTATTTATTTATTTATTTATTTATTCATTTATTAATAATACATCCAAACAGATTGAAAATCCACTTACTGGAGTATATAACGATGAGTTTTGTGATAATATTGGGGTGCAAATGTTCACTACCAGCGAAACGGAAAAAATGTCTACGTTTTCTAACTTATTTAACTGTCTATATATAATAAACAAAGGACTATGAAAATGATGGAAGGAATTTGGTACATCTATATGAAAAGTCATGTTCGATCTCGAAGTAATTCGCGGTACATAGAAATTAATCAATGATAGTAATTCTGATGAGTCGATGAGATTGTGGACGATTTTGTAAAGGAATGTAAGGTCGGAGATCTCTCTACGCTTCCTCAAAGTTGTCAGCTTGAATTCGTCTGATAGTAGCTGGTGATCATAACGAAGTACTGGGCATGTGCCGTGTTTTTTAAATGTGGTATGTGGTACGTTAGCATCTAGCAACTAGATGCGCTACTGCTCAGTGGAATGTGCTTAGATCAGAGCCTATGACAGAGGTGTGTGAAGACTGGCTCATATAGTATTCGGCAGGCAGCCGAGTTGTGAGCAAGTGTAACCCTTGTCCATGTCATTTGTGCTCGTGTTTATTGAATTATGACCATAATATAACATGGTACAAATGTCAATTTCTTGTCGAAGATTACTCCCAGATCCTTACATTCATTTACCCTCATTTACATTCATGAAATAATATGGCATTATAGCCAGGAAAGTAGTTGTTTCTCTCCCGAAATCTACCATTGTTGTTCATTTTATGAACATTGTAACTATTTCGTAGTTGAAATTACGCCAGTCGGGCAACCAGCCACTCCCGTATGGAAATTTTGGTTTTGGAGTGTTTCTTTCCTTCTTTCCTACTCAGATGGCGTTGTTTTCATATTGTCAATGGAGGACGTCTCTGAGGGAATATAATGCCGACTTGATTTTTGTTTGGCTAGGCTACGCTTAGTCGGCGGAGATCTGCCCTGCACTGATGAGAGTCAAAGAGCTCAAAAACGGTCTGTTGGTATCTAGCGTGGCCTGGCTGAATCGAAATCAATACGCATTCAGGAAAGAATCACTTGTATCAGTATTCGTTTATACGAGTCGATGCATAGATTTCGGGAGGATATGATTCAATGTTCTGCGTGGCGTTAGTCAGGAAAGTATAGCTGTTTTTCTCCCGAAATCCATCATTGTTTTTAATTTTATGAACATTGTGTGGAAATGATTTTGAGCTTTTTGTATCTATTCAATAATATAATAATTCGTTTATTCAATCGCTGCGAATAGAGACGTTGATGTGCGTGTAATTTATTACTTGCAGACACGTACATGACGTCACTACTCAGCAAATGATGTATTAGAGGTCTATTCAATCAATTCAACATGATATATTTCTTGATAAGGAACAAAATTCGGAATGTAATTCAGTCCATGATACACGAGGGGATTTTTTCCCTCTTTTGATGTATGTACATAGAAGAGATGTTCTGTAAACGCATCTGAGAGCAGATTGAGAGGAAGAAGATTTTCAGTCATGTGACCTCTGGAGCAAATAGTTAAATGATATTAAAGAATACTCCTGGGGAGTCTATTAGTCAACTACTGCAATGCGAATGAAAATTGTGATTTCTTACCGATTTGGATCAAAATGTTTCAATTAACTATTATGGGCACGCCTTTTTCTGTGTAAACTATACCAGCTTCATTCATATTTGGCTTCAATATATGAGTAGTTCATCTATGACTGATACAAACTGTGCTGCTTATACTAACCCAATTAATTCAATTCAAACTCAAACCAAACCAGAAACCTGTGCTCAAACTCCAATAACTGACCTACAGTCTTCAGTCATTCAACAAAAATAAGTTGAAATATATCTAATTCCTCTGAATTGATAGTCCGAGCAAAACGATTTCATTTTTTTCCTGGCTGTCAAATTACAGAACGCTCCAAATGAATTGTGTCTTGCACTGAATGACATTGAAAAACGGCTCCGGAGGTAAACAAGCAAATAAATGTGATTGCAGAACATATCTAGACATATCGAATAGGAGGAAGAAAAATATCCTTCCTGCATAATAATAAAAACGGAGCATACTTTTCCCAAACATTCAAACCTGAGTCGGCCTAAAAGAACCTTCTTTACGAAGAGTATAAATATTTTTTGGAAAATCACTAATTCAGTCCATGATACACGAGGGGATTTTTTCCCTCTTTTGATGTATGTACATAGACATATCGAATATGAGGAAGGAAAATATCCTTTCTGCATAATAATAAAAACAGAGCATACTTTTCCCAAACATCCTAACCTGAGTCGGCTTAAAATAATCTTCTTTACGAAGAGTATATATATTTTTTCACTCACATAACTAAAATGGCATTTAGCGTACGGATATATACCACGCTAAATGATCGATTAATCACGGATTGTCAATCTGTGATTTATTCAAAATATTAAACACGTCACCATGGCAACACGATTTCTTAAACACATTACCATGGCAACGCAGTTCATTAAACACAGCTTCAGTAATTTGAGACATGTCTGGTCAATTGTATTAACTGTCAACTGTTATTTTCGAATTTTGTATCAGAATTATTTAAACAATATTTGTTTGTATCAGAAATTCTTTATTAAAGATATATGCGAAATGTAGACGACAGTAAAATCGAAGAGAATGTTCAGGTACTTATTACATACCTCCAAGAAGTGTAAAAATGAAGCATCCATATCTGAGAACAATTTATTCATTCTGCGCTAAGCATGACAATAAACGTGAAACAAAGGTTAGTATGAAATGGACTGGACACATCTACAACCAATATCACTTATACGTGTTTCGCTGGTTGCATACAGTTGCATGTATTATGTTCTCAATTCCCATTCCTTTCGAATTATTTTGTAGGTTAGCAGGAATTGCAGGTATGATGATGTAATTTTCGGAGTTCGTAGAAAAATCATAGTATGTAACGCGTTTATAAACTATTCTAGACACTCGTTTATTAAACACTCGCTCCGCTCTGCTCCGCTCGTGCTTAAACTACTAGTTACTAAAAGGACGTTTATAACACTTGTTACATAATATACTATTTGGAAAATCACTTGAGGAAAGGAATTGATAATAATTATAACAACTGTTGAACCTGGTGGGGATAGGACCCGGTTCGCAGTCCGAGACACAGGACACAGTTCGATATGGCAAGCGCTTACTTGAAAATGTATCTATGAATTAGGAATTTCATCTAGCGTCAGTGACGTCATTTCCGTGCACGAATGAAATATTTTCGGGCACATCAACGTGCCTATAATCGATCCATATTCTACTTCTGACTATAAACTTCAGTAAAACTCACTTCATCCCAATCTCGCATCCCATGCTAAACACTTACCTCACTACAAGACCTTAGAAATCACAAATGATTCGATTTCAATCAATATTGCTATTTCTTTCCATTAGGAATATTCGGGAATGTATGTCGGTAGGCACTCAAGATGGAACAAACATATCGAATTTGTGATAAAAAAGTTAAGATGCACACTATTCAAATTCGAACATATAAATGAGATACTTGTAAAACATCAGATGAAAACTCTTTATTTTCCACTAGTCGAAAGGCATTTGAGATATGGTATAATTGCTTGGGGAGCTGAGCTTAGAACGAATGCAGAAATGAATATTGAAAATAATTTACCATAGACCTCGCACGTATCCGACTAATGACCTTTTCATTGAAACCGGTATGCAAGATATTCGTCAACTATTCTCTCTAAAAACCATGGCTAAAAACAGTTACTAGGCAGCATAAATATAAAACGAATCTAACTTTAGTCAATAATGAATATCTGACTCGAGCTAGAACATATACAGTCGTCTTCAGTCGCACATGGACGGTGTTTGCTCAGTTGATTAACGCTGCAATAAGAGCGCTCATACCGTCCAACGTCCGTTACATACATGAATTGCAAGTTAAATAAAAGCTCTGGAGTTTAATAGTCAATAAAAAAGACCTTATTTTGATCTGAAAAATAAGCCTCTGAAATGTTGATACTAAATTTTGAAATACCCTGTACATGACATGACATATTTATTACAGGGGAACATCCAGCAGCCATGCAGACAAGCGAAGCTACTCCAACTACTCGCCAGATGGCGATACTAGTGTCAGCTTCTCTTCTGGCGGGATTCCTAACAAGATGATCATCTCTCCAATGAAACTCATCAGTTGGCTGGGTGTTAATGATCTGCAGTTAGAAGGACGCTCAAACAATATTTGGGAAAAAAATGTTTCTGCATGAGTTATAGTAAAGAAATGGTTCATGTCCTCCTATATGTGTTTCAAACGCGGTCGGAAATGGATAGTGGATACCTTTGCTTCCTTGATATACAGGGTGAGCGGTACACCATGGATTATATACTCTAGCTGGTGATGAATAAATTCATAACCTATCAGAAAATCACAACTTGACCTCAGAAAAATCCTCATGGTTTTAGAGATATCGAACTTTTCTGAAAACAAAAATTGAATTCTTATTTTCGTAACCATAACCATAGGAAACCTTCTTTCACATATAACATCATACCATTCCATTCCTTTCATTCTTACATAAATCATACATTGGCTGCTTTCCATGCTCTTTTCCATAGACTTTTCATCATTCCATTAAACAAATTGCTGTCGATAATGACTTTCCCCATCCCTCTGATTAATAAATTCTACTTCAGATATTTGAACAAATTTTCCAAACACTTCTTGACCAGCCATGAACCTCCTACTGCCAAATTTCAGTCCTTAACTTATTTTGCCTCTGTTTCACTCAAGATTAGAAACATTCACAGTGAGAAACTAAGAGGTGATAATCGAATTCAATATATATTTTCATTCAGAACTTCAAATAACCTCAGAGGTGCCCTTGTCAATATCAAAGATTCTATTCCTGATTTGAAAAAATCTGGTGTCTAGCTTTTGACATGTTCGAACCGGTTTCTAAGGTGTTTTACATTGGTCAGACAGGCCGCAGATTCAGAGCTACCATTGATATTATTTCTGAAAAAGGTTTCCTCAATTCCAACTCTATGTTTCCCAACTACATCATTAGTGAAAAACATTCATTTGATTTTAATTCTGATCTCAAATGTATACACTTTCGTCATTAAAGCAAAAAACTGAACTGACTTGAACATCATGTTTATAAAGCCATGAAAAACCCTGAAGTAACATGCATTGAGGAAAAGACTCACTTCGTTTGCTTCAAACCTTCAAATGCTCTTTCCTTGAAAAATACTTGAATTTCTTTTCCTGTTCCTCTCAAGAAGACTGATTGAATACATAAAGTTTCATGTTTTTCTCTTGTAATCATTCCAATGTTAAGATAATTCTCTAGTACTCCCCCCTCTATTCTTAGTATCACTTTAATCTCTATGTCATGCAGCGTTCTGTAATAACTCCACCGCCAAGATGTTTTTTGTCATCATGGACCTCATGTCAAGGATATCCTATTTTAAACACCATATTTGATATTTAACACCCTTTGCCTTGCTTTTTATATCCACTGTCCGACTGTCTGAGCCGAGCAATGGTGGAAATTTTTGACTTCAGAAAGAAATCTCAACAACTTCTTCGATTATATTGATATTAATAACTTGACAAAGATGATTCGCATTCAATTGCGGGCCCTTCATTATTATAAGAACAACTTTCAAAATGTCAATTACAATTTGGTTATTCATCATGTGAAATATTTTTCCCCCATTCATTATCTGAATGCTTCTCTTGACGTGGCTTTTTTTTCTTATTGTAGTACTTCCTGTAACAAATAATTTTTGCTGATGATGAAGCTTTGAAGCTTCGAAAAATGTCCTAATTCCAATGTTAGATGAAGTAGAGTTTTGGTAGAGTTGACTGTAAGATTCTCTTCCTGCCCGCTTATTTTCATGTTCCAAGCTGAAGAGGAGCATTTCATGTTCGAAAAAATATCCTCCGATTTGGAACATTTTTCATTTCTGTAGTAATAAAAGTTCCAATATCTTGAGAACCGTCAGGTTTTTATCAAGGTCAAGTTGTGGTTTCCTGATAAGTTTTGAATTTGCTCGATCATCACTTAAATATGAATTACCGAACACCCTGTATAAATGGGTTTCAATGATCTCACGATTAAATTACTGAAACAAATGATTCATATTCAGTCAACACAGTCATTCTCAGAAAATAGCGAATCTCACAGGAAAAACAGTGAAACGAGAAACAAAGAATTATTTTTCATTTTCACGTTGGAAAGAGAGCCAGAGTGTGATTTTATAGTTTCTCTTTACACCTACATCCTTTTTTTTTCAAACAGTTTCCGAGCAAGGTGTCACTGAATATGATTTGAATTTCTCTTTGAGGTTTTTGATGATGAAATGTTGGGCGGGGTGACATTTTGGGACGAATTATCTGATTGGTCCTCACTACGAGATGCGAAAACTTATTCAGAGAGATATATGATATTCTATGTTTCTTCCAATTCGAATAAAAATGTTAGTAGATGTACTTTGAACTTTGTTCGAGAGAAACTCATGCAGGAATATTATTTTCGTGGATATTGTCTTCGAACAATCACCATATCACTACTAATGGTGATGATTCATAATCTGTCAACTTCAACTTGGCCGGAATCAGAATTTGGGAACAAAATCATACAGGATAAAAGTGTGATAAAGGGTGTCCCCAAAACATTCAACAGTGTGAATAACAGTTCGTGATTATTTTACATGTGGACTACATGAGGATAAACTATTGTAATTGGTATGGAAATATAATTTGATGTTCCCATAGAAATTCGTATTTATGAATGAACATTGATTGTGACCTCGTCAATATCTATACAGAGTGGGCCTTTGAAAACGAAACAGAGGCTCTGTAGGTCGCCAAAACCGGATTATCAAAAAAAACTGAAACAGGTCAACTACATTTTCGAGGGGGACATCTTTCTAAAATATTTTCAGCCCTGCGACGTTGCCGCTTCTAAAGAAAAGAAGCAACAACTTTGTTATTTCAAATGGAACACCTTGTATTTTATTGCATTTTTAGATTCTCCCCGAAGAGCTGATTTCATCAATGCATCACACTTAGGGTCTAGCTGTAATGGTTTCAGGGATATAAAGTGTTCAAAATCGAGATTTTTCAACTTTAACATTTTTTTGTGTCGAAACTATTCGTTATTGGTCAAAACGGCTCCCATGTCCCGATCTCAACTTGTGATTTACTATCTACTGACATTTATTTGAAACAAATACAGGGTGGTTCAAGATTCAGAATTCTGATCAGCCTGTATCTGTTCCAATTAAATGTCAGTAGATAGTAAATCACAAGTTGAGATAGGGACATGAGAGCCGTTTCGACCAATAATGAATAGTTTCGACACAAAAAAATGTCAAAGTTGAAAAATCTCGATTTTGAACACTTTATATCCCTGAAACCATTACAGCTAGACCCCAAGTGTGATGCATTGATGTAATCAGCTCTTCGGGGAGAATCTAAAAATGCAATGAAATACAAGGTGTTCCATTTGAAATAACAAAGTTGTTGCTTCTTTTCGTTAGCAGCGGCAACGCCGCAGGGCTGAAAATATTGTAGGACGATGTCCCCCTCGAAAACGCAGTTGACGTGTGTCAGATTCTTTTCATAATCCGGTTTTGGCGACCTACAGAGCCTCTGTTTCGTTTTCAAAGGCCCACTCTGTATTTGGCTAAATGTTATTCAGCATGGTGAAGCTATCCTACTGATTATTTTATTTGACAAAGTTGGAATCGTTTTTTCCTATGGCTATTACACAAAATTGCTCTTGTTATACGACGCTATACCTATAGTGGAGTATACTACGGCCGTGCCAAAAATGCTATCTCGGAAACTAAGCGAGATAGAGGTATAGTTGCTTTGGAGAAAATGATCCCCATCGAATTTTGAGCAACTTTGGTTTTTGTGTGTGGTCTGTCTGTCTGTCTGTCTGTACTCTGTGTTAATCATAAATCGATATATCTCCGGAACCCTTTGACATATCGACTTGAAATTTTGCCATCTTATTGTACTCAAAACAATATTATGTCATTGAAATATGAAGGAAATCGGAAAACTCTAAGGTGGTTTTTCCGGGTTTTTTCGATTTTTCACCGGAAGTTCCTTGTAACCACTCTACAAATCGCAAAAGTGGTCCGATCGATTTCATTTTTTGTGAAAAAAACCTCTATCAGGAAGAGACAAAGCCTATTGAAATTGAGCAGGGTCGGAAAATTCCAAGTGGGTTTTTCAAGGAGATTTTCCGAAAAACACGGTTCGCTTTAAAACGACATATCTCGTGAACAAATAGACTAAATCCAAATTTGAGAAATGCACCGTATGCCTCTTTGATGACGCAACAAATTATCATTCAATCATTTTTTCGTGCATCCATCGGAAACTGGAAAAACAAATGAAAACCCAAACATCAAAATTTGAAATCCTTTTAATTCAATATATATCGAAAACAAATGGAAAAATCAAAAATTATCAGGAGTACAATGTTATCCACTGGAACATTCCCTACAAATCATTTTCCATAATTTTTTCTGTAAACCCAATAGTACAGGAAATAAAGTGAAAAATATGAAAAAAAAAATTTTAACGACCCATGATATGAAGATATATTGAAAAACATAGATTATCGATAGATGAAGCTCATCTACCTCCACTGAGGCATGAAATATTTTTTCATTTTGTTGATTGGAAGATGGAACAAAAGTGTTGAAAATTTTATTCTCAGATAATTCCAAATATCTCGAAAACAACTGAAAATATCTGAAAATGTTATAGAACCAAAATTATTCCTTTTGATAAAATCCACAAAAAACATTTTTTTCTGAATTCAATAGTTCGGGAGATACGATGAAAAAACTGAAAAATTTACAAGTTCCTTAATAATCACTTGCCAATAGAAAACAAAACAAAAAACAAAAGAAAGTAAAAAAAGCACACTCGATTGTCTTGATTTTTTTCTCATAAACTACGTACCTAGCTCACTGCTCGACTGTGTGGAAAAACCAAGACAGTCGAGTGGGCTAAGTACGTAGTTTGTGGGAAAAATCTCCAATTCTCCGAACTTTCATAGCGTCGTATATACATCCTTGGTGCCCAATGATAGTTTCAATATAAAAATATACTCATGATATGGTGCCATGGCCTCTACTTCCATCTTACATGAGCAATGATAAAATATAATCTGCTTTTATAGCGTCGTATAAATTATCTGACCTCTAAATAAACTAATACCTTATGAAAACTACATCTATACTAATCTGATACCTTATAAAAACTACGTACCTCACTTGTTATACGACGCTATACATAGTGGAGTATACTACGGCCGTGCCAAAAATGCTATCTCGGAAACTAAGCGAGATAGAGGTATAGTTGCTTTGGAGAAAATGATCCCCATCGAATTTTGAGCAACTTTGGTTTTTGTGTGTGGTCTGTCTGTCTGTCTGTCTGTACTCTGTGTTAATCATAAATCGCTATATCTCCGGAACCCTTCGACATATCGACTCGAAATTTTGCCATCTTATTGTACTCAAAACAATATTATGTCAATAAAATATGAAGGAAATCGGAAAACTCTAAGGTGGTTTTTCCGGGTTTTTTCGA